ATACACATAGTTTCAGGTCAAAATTCGAATTTTCATTTTTTTTCATGATCCTGAGGGGACCACGGTAATTTCCTATAGATAATTCGAAAAAAATGAAAATTCGAATTTTGACCTGAAACTATGTGTATATTAAGGACTCGATAAGAATAGTTTCTTGTGAAAATTTCAGATCTTTTGGTTGCACTTTAGCTGAAATACAACTATAAGAAAGATTAGACGGACTATAGATATTACCCTATAAAATTTTAAAAAGTGGCTTCTTCACCATTTTTCACAGACATGCTCAAATGAACTGAAATTTTGGATTTCGAGGTTTCTTGACATGGGCTTTCATTTGAAACACTTAAATCGAATATTTGAAAATAAATCGTCAATCTTCATAGGGAGAGTCGGGGCCCAAATTTGGTCTTCATAGTCTTGTTCGGAAACGTTTTGCTACCAAAGTTCATTTTCACAAACTTTCGAAAACGCCATTCAATGCAGTTTGATGTGCTCTTTCAAATGAGACTATTTTCAAACTATTCTACCGCGCTGATATGACTAAGTCCTTATACATATGTAGACACACTTTCTGAAAGTGGTATAGAATGCCTATCGAAAAAAATCCAATGAAAAGGTATTTTCGATCCCATCAAAAGATAGCCCATAATCGATAGTATCTATGGTAAAAAAATCTCTGTTATAGCTCTTATCGTTGTTGAGAAAATGCAAATTTACTGAAAAATATTGCAGAACAAAATGCATCAAAAATGACCTACCCCCCAATAGTTGTGTCTACTATATCTCCAGACTAGCTTATCTATTTGAGCTGAAATTTTGTGTTTCTTCCTAAATATGTTAGGCCTACCTACTGTGAAAATATCAACCAAATCGGTGAGATCGATTGCGCAAGGTTGTCAGGAAATGGTCGTGGCTTACGTGCAATGCCTCCTAGGTATGCATTTATGGATATAAAGCTTGAACGTATCCCTATCATTGGTAAAAAAATCAGCTCCTTTGTTCGAGCCGTAAGGGAGATATTCAATTTTTTTTTGGTAAGTGACTTTTGCGACACCCTATATATGATATGGATGAGATATGTATAACGAACGAGAAAAATAAATAGACCAATTAAAGAGTCAAAGAGATGGAAGAATAGAGGATAACAAAAAAATAGCGAATACATATACATGCAACATCACTATAATAATGATAAAATTACATAAATATATCTTTAGGTAAATCATCACCGGTTTCAAATGTTGCCCATTTCGTTCGAGGTATATCTTTGAATATAGTTTCAAGTCTTTTTTGTCCATTATCATCATCTTTATATTTTCGAATAAAAATTCGTGCAATTCGATTAGGATATTGAGCATAAATACTTGCATATACATCTGGATCACTTTGAAATATATCTCCAATTAACACAAATAAACGATGATATGTACTTTGTAAAAACATATGTAAGGTGTCAATTTTTTTTGCATGAGTTGATGACACAAAAAAATCTAAAAAGTTCGCATTAAGCCATTTAAAATGTCGCATATGTGTAGAACCTGATGGAAAATGTTCACGATCCAAAAATTCTTTTAAAAATGGATAAAGTTGGTCTGGTGCTCCCGTTAAATAAGTAAATGTTGCATTATATTTTCTTTCCCAATATCGATATATATCTGCCATACCCGAAACAGCTTTAAATTCACGACTAAATGTATTAATTAATGTTCGCATCAATGATGTTACATTCATTATTCTAATTGTATCATCAATATCACTCATAAATGTTATTCCATGATCATCACATAAATAAATATCACCAATAGCTTGAAGATTTCTATTTAGTACAGATACTTGAAAAAGTATTTTACCATCATAACCACCTGATTGACGAAATAATTCAATTTCTTGATTAGTCATTGTAAAAATATTGTTTATATGACCATCATCATCTGTTCGAATACACATTTCTTGATTAAGTCCATCAATACATACATCTTCTCTTTTTTTATCGTCAGCAGTAAACATTTTAATACGATTTTGATATAAATCTTTTTGAATAATAACTTCTAATGTTTTTTCCATTCGTAATGCATGAAAAGGATTTTCTTCATAGTACCATCCTTGAATATACAAAATCCAATCAGATGACAATGAATTCGATGTTGATGAATGATCTCGAAATGCTACTGATGGTACAAGAATAAGCCCTTGTTTATCAAAGAGAAATCCATTAATTAATTTTGAATTAGTAACAAAAATCAAAAGGACAAAATATATATCTCTCATGATTAACAATGAGTGTAAGATGAATTTGGCTGCTGTGTTATTATATACTCTTTTTATCATCAAGTATATGCATTAATGTTTATTATCGATAGAATGAATAATAATACCAGCATAGGATTGGTTGAAAATAAAAAGTGTCTAGCAAATATCTACTATCGTGGATACAATCCTACATATTACCTATGATTCATATTGTATTATGAAAAATTAGTTACTAAAGAAATAATCGCAAAATTTAAATATGTGACTAAACGATTGCCTATTGTTAGCGTTTCATTCTTTCTTTTCTGTATATATGTAAGCATATGTTATATATGTGCTGATGCATATGCACAAATGTTATCATCTGACTGCAGGAAAGGAAACAAAACACATAATATATATAATAGGTTTATGAAGAACGAAAAGAAGAACATATCAATAGAGGCCAAATAGTACGCGATCAGAGCAGTAAAAGTATATGAAAGACAATCAATCGATAGCAAAAAATGCACTATGTAGTTTTGGCATGAGCCCTATATCATTCCCATATGGTTTAATAGAAAAAACTATTGTCTATCGAACTGTGTTCTCAGTTTCTTTTAAAAAAGTGTTCCCAAACTACAAATACCTTCTCGACTGTTCAACTGTAGCGACTCTATCACGAATATCTTGTTTAAATAGAGTTAAATAGTGAAATTTACTCTGGGGCCCAATAACCATCAAAATGTGTTTATTCTTTTCAATGAAAAAAACGACTTAATATTCACTGAGAAAAAAGTGTTCCAAGTTAGAGTCGCCAAAAGTGCATATTTTGATATTGATTAGATGATTCATCGGGATCTGACCGTATACTAAAAGAAAAATAAACGAGTATAAAGAATAGCAAAAAATAGAGAGTATGTTAACGTGCGATATCACTGTAACATACTTCCTTATTCGACAAAAAGGGTGTCCTATCAATATTTTTTAAATGATTAACGATAAGTATAACAAAATAAAAATGACTAGAAACGAAGAGTAGCTGAAAAGGAAAGCAAAAAATAACGAACATTCAAATCTGATACATAAAAATAGTTTTTTTTTAAACGGTTACAAGTTTCAATATAACAGAATAGATATTCAAATATAATAAGATATAACAAAGAGAAGAAGAGAAAAGAATGAACAATTTTTTCTGAAATACAAACAATTAACGATACATATAAAGACTTTAAATAGGCTGGTTAGACATATTTTCGATCAGAAAAGAAAAGACATTGAATCGATGTAGATGTATAATCTTATTTTGTGTGATTTGTATTCAGTCGAAGGTAAATATAGATAATTGGTTAATGATAAAGGATACCGCCGGATAAGATCGTAAATCTGCCACCCCCCTAGTTCTTTCTCTTACTAGTCTAGCTAGATAGAGCTTTAAATTCTGCACATTTTTGTATATTTTTTTTCTTTTAGTTCAGTGCAAAAAAAAATTTTTCTTGATGGGACTAGCCTAAGGGTCTATACCATTTTGGGTATACCGGGTGATGAGTATGATATCTAAAATTTTTTTCTTTTGTAGACTCAATATGAAAATGAATAGTATAGATCGACGCAGTTTTTCATGCTCTACAAAATGACATATTGTTCAAATTTATCCTTAACTTCTTTACCAATTAATACAGGGTTAAATAGACTCAATAACTTATAAAGTAATTATGCTCTTATTCATAGTGGGACCGTATTTTAATAGGACTTAAACCATTATTATCATTCGAGTATTATATCAATAATATTATTCTGCTATTTATAGATACATTTACAGCTGAATTATCGTTTGATATACAGAAACTAGACGGTGGTAAATAAGAATTATATATATGTTCTTTTTTTTTTACTATTAAACTTGCACTACTTCAAGTATTGGTTCTAAAAGACAAGACAATTTTAAACATGAACGTATTTTTTTTCATGCTAACTAATTTATATAGCAATTACGCTGTCTTTATGTTAATTAGATGAGAAAGATCAAGTACTTCTTGCTTTCGAATATAAGTTCATGTTTAAAATATCCATTAATCTCATTTAATAAATCCGGTCGAATATTGAGTCTATTTAACCCTGTATTAATTGGTAAAGAAGTTAAGGATAAATTTGAACAATATGTCATTTTGTAGAGCATGAAAAACTGCGTCGATCTATACTATTCATTTTCATATTGAGTCTACAAAAGAAAAAAATTTTAGATATCATACTCATCACCCGGTATACCCAAAATGGTATAGACCCCTAGGCTAGTCCCATCAAGAAAAATTTTTTTTGCACTGAACTAAAAGAAAAAAAAATATACAAAAATGTGCAGAATTTAAAGCTCTATCTAGCTAGACTAGTAAGAGAAAGAACTAGGGGGGTGGCAGATTTACGATCTTATCCGGCGGTGTCCTTACATGTTGTTTATATGTTTACTTAAATTATATTAAAATAACATAGATGTATTTATCGATCATCTTGTAAGATGATCTGAGAAGATATTATTTGGTGCTAAAGTAAATGTTGTTTAGTGTAAATGATTAAAAAAAAATTTTATTAATAGATGTAACTTAAGGTTAATATGTTAAATTATAATTTCTTTTTTATGTAGTTAATGATAATGATTAGAACGACATGTATTCAAATGAATTTGACGTCGTTGTAAATATAATTCATTATAATGATCAGTTGTGAACAAATTTCTTGTTTTATGTTCATATGTAGATAGCAAATGTTTATCTTTAATGCCGATATATAATGATGTACGAGAAGTTAATGATGATGTTGAAACATTTACAGCACAAAAATCGATAGAATGTTCTCGAAGAATTTTCTTGATTTGTGTTGCTGAAAATCTTCGATCAATTCCTCTTCGTATAGTTTCATGTTTGTATAACTTCTTTTGTTGTTTCAATGTACATGTACGATTATGAATTTTCTTTTTTTGTTCAGCAGTTAATTGTTTACCATGTTTAGTTGCACCGCTTGATAGATCTATATCAACTGATGTTGTTTCTTGTTGTTCAGGTTCATCATCATCCGAAGATATTTATTCTAAATTATTAATATAATTATTTGATGTTGTTATAATTGTTGTTGTTCTTGCTGGTATTATTTTATTTGGTTGTTGAATTATTTCTAATTTAATAAGAACACGTTGCACAGATAGGCAATCGTTTGCGACATAATTTGTTAAAATTTCACGCTCTGTTTTTTTCTTTAATATTCATTTTAAATAGTTGAGGATCTAAACCAATATTAAATGACGAAATTGTTAGTTATTTGTCGAGCCATGGATGTAGTTCGTAAATGACGACATCTTGTAAAGATCCTGACTCGCTAGAAAATTTTCCCATGCATTGTTCACATAAACATTCAGCGGATGTATTCGGTGGAAATGTTGTCGATGGTTTATGTGGATATCTTATTTGCCATTTTTCTTTAATTTATCTTGTAAATTTATAAAGTTTGGTGTTAAAATTTATTCTTTAGAAAACAATTTGGAAATTGGAAACGGCAATAATTCGTTATGTTCTCCGCATATATAAATTATTTTACCACAATTAAAAATTGTGTTACAGATATTTTTAATTAATTTAAAAGTTGTTTCATGTTCGTAGGGCATATGATATATTTCAGAAAAAAAATAATAGAAGAGTTGTATTGTAATAATATTTGAATTTGAATCAAAACCGATTTGTTTTTTTGTTTATGTATTTTAATCGATTCAGTATCTAATATAAAATCAATTGATGTTATTTTTGTTTGAGTAATTTGTTTTAATATTTCTGTAGTTGTTGTTCAATTTATATAATAGATAAAATGTGGTAATGGTTCGAATAGTTCGAGTGTAGATGCATAATCATGTTCTGTAAGTTTCTTGCGTAATAATCTTTTATAGTTTTGGCAATGTTGACCAGTCATAGTTGAAGGTATATCATTAAGTTGCCATCATAAATTGTTGTATTCTTCTTGTTCTCTTAAAAAATCAGTTTGAAATATGTAAAATTTGTGTATGTGTCTGTCAGGTGGGAAAATGAGAATAATATAAAAAAAATAGTGAAATATATCAAATAAAATATATTGATATTGGTTTATTGTTCTTGAAAATTATGACAATTTTATGATGAATACTGGAAAGAAGCTTGACGACTCAAATATTCAGAATAAACAACAAAGCTGTTCGAGATGATCAAGACGAAATGAAACAATGGAACAAAAACAAAATCGATTACGCCTCGATCGAAAAAGAAAAAGAAAAAGAAAAGAGATAATATGAAACAGTTGAGCAAAGAGAATGTCGTTCGAAAACTAATGATAGATGCATGACTAAAACAGTTCATAGAGAAACTGACGATAAATATCGCATTCGACTTCGACGAAATTGTCAGCATACTGCCAATAGTCGTTCGAAAGAAGAGTTATAACAATAAATGCATAATAATTAGTCAAGCAGAAGAAAATCAAATAGAGCGACAGCCACTTCTTAAGAAAGTCGATATCAGGTTGGAAAAACATTTCAAATTGAAAGGACATTTCATAGAAACTATGGCGAAGACAGAAAACATTCTGACATGGGTGATTGTTTACTCAATAATGATCAAATACAGATCAAACGTATACAAATTTGAAAAGAAAGAAAATCAACTACATCAATGAATGATGAAGTAAACCTATGTTTGGATAAAGTTCAAACCAGAGATGAAGACAATTCAGTTCGAAACTTTTCGAACTGATCTCAGTTAGGTTACTCTCTTAGTAAAATTTATGTAATTTATATAGATGTAAAATCATTTGGAGTAAGAAGCATAAAAAATGTCGTAAATTGCAGTGAAAGTATTTATACAATTCTCTTTCTGCGTCCTTATCGATTCTAAGAAAAAAATGTAGAAAATAAGCTAGTTAGTGGTATTTCAATAATAATCCAACATATCCAGTGGCAGAACAAAGATTTTATTATATGAGGCGATTCGACGGAGATAGGAATCATCATGATCATGAAGTGTTCCCAGGTTCCTTAGAGGCAGTAAGAGCTCATTTTGAAGCTTTTTCTACTAGAAAATAGCGGTTTTTTTCTCGATATTGGAAGATCGCCGGAAGCATCCTTTTAAATCTGCTGCTCAGTACATTAAACTAATGAGTTGTCTAAACTGAGTTCGAATATAACTTAACCTCTGGTTGCAACAGGGACTTAAAAAATAAATAGAAAAAATGTCGAACTAGCAGCGAACTGTGTTCCAAGCCAAAGTTAAAGATAAAACTAATTTGATTTATATTTTATAATTCAGATACGACCAAATTGTTAGAATAGCCAAAACTAAATTCTATCACGGAGCTTGTCAGTAGGTAACGCGCTCACGTTTTGTCAACTTTCGATCCGAGTTTTTTAGGAACAACAAACCATAGAGCCTTGAAACTTTGAGGATATATGTATATTATGAAACACTTTAACGTGTATAAGTTTCATGCTAATCCACTTTACAATTTTGTTTTTATACTAAAACTACATGCCGATAACGCACTCACAAAAAAGACCCTCCTTTCTTTGGGTGTTGCTAGAACGTTTGAAATTTCTGCGAATACTTGAATTGTAAATACAATAGCTACATTATACTTTATAGAGGATAGTTAGGGTTCTCTATGTGAAAAATTAGTTTGAAAATTTGTTGGGTTGTTCAGAAATGATACCACTAACATTGTGGTAACGTACTCATTTTTCTTCCGAATATTTTGCCATTTCCAGCATTCTTAGTTTTCTTTTTGATTGAAAAGAATGCAAAAACACTTATTTTCTTTTTATTTTGAAAGATCTATATACTTCATGATAAAATAAGTACAAAATAGATAATAATATCACATAGCCTACCATTAATTTTTCGCATGAATATAAATTAAAAGTGAACTGTCCATTTTTCAGTAGAATAATCATATAATCGACATTCAATAGTATTTTGTTATACAACTGTAACACTATGTAATTTTTGATTATTTTTAACAGACAGTGTATTCGAAAAAAATGCTTGTAGTTGAGCTATTGATTTATCAGTATCCTTTTGTGTTATTTTGTCAATAATAATAGCCTTAGTTTTTGTTTTTGCAATATTAACAAAATCAGTTGCATTTTCACATTTATCTTTTGTGGTTAATATTTGTTGCCAAACAATTCTTTTAACACTGCCACCAATGCCATCAACCACGCCTTTGGCACGGCTAGTAGCAAAAAAATGCCACGAAAGAATCAATTGATATTCATATGACATTCGTGTCAAATTACGCATCAAGTATCATTGTTTAAATTGACTGGCGGTGCTGTCACTAAAGACTCGAATTTCTTCTAATGATGATAATTGTTGTTTCAGTTTGTTAATGGTATAATTAATACAATTGTAAACACAATATTTATCATGCCTGACATTATTTGATACTAATGCAAAGGAATAATTGTTCGTACCACACCAAGCATGACCTGTAAAGATAGAGGCCGACTTGGAACTCCAATGAGCAGATTGAACTTCATCTTGTTGTTTTATTTCAAAATTTTCACTATAATCAACTCGAATAACAATTTTTTTACTACTGGTATTGGTCTGTGATTCTTCGAAAAATTTACTGTGTTGACGTTTAATGTGAACATGTAATAGGAATGTCTTCACTTTAGAAGATAATAATTCAATACCTTGTTCAACTGATTCTTGTTGCTCTTCTTTTGTGGCATAACCATTAATATGTTTCCATTGGTATCATTTTATTTGAATATGTCTATCAATAACATTATTTTTAATATTTAAATCGAAATAATTTTCACAAGTAAAACAATTAGATGACATAAAATCATAATTTGACTCATCACAAACAAGAGCCGATGTAAATGAATATAAATTTGAACAAAATGATCCATTGACATGTTTAGATAAACTATTTAAAAGTAAATTCACGTTTTCATGATATATGGAAATGCATACACGATGCGCCATAGACGATTTTACTGAAATATGTTTAGGACGTATTTCAGCAAAAGCCGTTTGACTCACAGAAATACCTTAAATAGAATTGAAGGATTAACAATCTATAGAAAAGCAACTTACCTGGATTCGCAGCAAGGAAAAGTTCGTATGCTTCTCGAATAGTATAAAGAAGAATTTTTTTTTGATATGTTATTTTATTTCCATTATCATTGACGACAATAGTATCACGCTTTCCAGGCATTTGATATGAAATATCATCTCGACTATAAAATAAAATTATACTATTTTTTATTTTTGATGATAACTTTCGAGTAGTACGTTGATGATTATTTCGAGGCACAATATCAACTGCTTGAGCTAGAGCTCAAACAATAACTTTTTTTTTATTGAAGTCTTTCGGAAGAGTACATTTTGCTTTTTTTAATGCCTTTCTGAAAGACTGTTTAGACAAGAAAGAATTTCTAAAGATGAGGAAAATTTTCCTGAAGCATTATCAAACAGTATAGTACATACTTGGACTTTTTGTTTTTATTACGATAAGCTCTTTGTGATTCTGTATGTTTTTTATCATAATCTTGTTTCCTTGTACCTGTTAGATTTTGACGATATATTCTCATTCGTACAGTATGTTTGGCTTTCATTATTTGATATAAGCCTTTGGCTTTCAAATTTTCACGATAGCGCTTTTGCTTTTGTGCATTTGTAAAAGTCGTTATATTTTTATGAACACAATAAATGTTTAAGATCAGTTTATGGTATTAAAAGATGACTTAATTTATTATAAAGTCTGAAATGAGACATACAGGAAAAATATATTTCGTGAGTGCGTTACTATTTTTTTTTTCAACGGACAGAGATAAATCACAACTTATATAGCCCCTAGGTAGCCTACGAAAAGTTAGCAAAGGTTTGTACGTTAAGGTCAAATTGATCAAGCAATTATGGTGAAAAACTAACTATAGACCCTGTTTGTTAACACATTCACCCAAGAATTTATCAGGTTTTTAGGAGTTTTCTATTTTTCTTCGTAAAAGACATAGGAGCTATTATTGGTATCAACGAACAGCCCGAATTTCGTAGATTCGAAACATATGTCAAACTTCAGTTGACAACTACTATTTTAACTTTTTTTTTCTTTCTTTCTGTAACGACGTAAAGATGACATACATTTAAACCAAGATGGCGCCAACTTATGGCGAATAATTTTTCCTTCTTTTAAAGAGATAACAGAATTCAAACTATATATTCTAAGACAAAAAAATGTGCTCTACAAAATAGCATAACTTATTTTTTTTAAAAGTTTAACTTCTACTTTAATCACTTCGGTTGACCGTTAGCCGGACAAGCTCCACAATTATAAAGCATAACTTCGGCAGGAAATATGCTGGGAGTGAAGTCAAAACGGCCAGAGATAAAACTTGATTTGACTTTCAGTTAGAATAGAGGTAACCTATGAGTTAGTACCGGACGTAGATATCTTTTGTTCAAGCTTTAGTTCAATTGATATCCTCTTGAATAGATTCATGTGTGGAAATCGAGCGTTGAGCTGGAAAAAACATCTTTCGTCACATAATTGACTGTTTATTTCAGCATCGTTGTGTGAAGGCGCGAAGCACTCGCAGAAAAGTCGCAACCTATGAATGTATTTGTATAAACAGAACTTTCGCATGAAAATATATGATGCCTCATATGAGTTTCCAAAAAGCTGCACGACTTACCCGAGAAAAAAATCCATTTCAGAAAATCATTGTGAGCTTTGTCAGATGGAAATAAATTTCCAAAAATCGAATCGATTTTTGGATATTTAATGATATAATAAAAAATTTTTCTCATTAATCAATACAGTTTTCGTCTATAGAACATAGTTTTAATCAAAGAAAAGTGTAACCGATCTTTTTGCACATTCGTGTCACGAAAAGCGTCACATCGCATCTGTCTCCAGGAGGGTCAACTGACTGATTTCACTCTACATATGCCTTGGTTCCTATGATTCTTCGAATCAAAACTATGCCGATTAGGTTCATTATTCCCTGCTTCCGAATCATGTGAGAAAAAGTTTTCTGAAAACTTCTAAAATGTATCAAATTGTAAAAATCGCATGCAGAAAGATTTTACATGAATTTTATCGTTTTCTTGCTTGATCTGTTCATTATGAAACAGTGAACCTTTGTTTTCTCGCTTGGATTAAGGATCTACTGATTGTGAAAAAGTAAGCTAAGTTGAATTATATTTTATAATTCAGATAAAATTTATCTTTGCCTTTGCGTATTTTCCTGGGAAAAATGTTTTTGAAATGACAATTAGTCATCGATTTTAATCCAAAATAATTATTTCTTTGTTAAATATACGCGACGTTGTTTTACCTATTTGTTGATGGAGTAGATGTTTAATTCGAGTTCGAATGTAAATGGAAGAGGTATGGATGTGGGCGTGAGTGTGAATGTATATCTCCGTCCATACTCATACCCACACCCACACCCTTTTTAGCGGATGACATATGTTAAAAATGAATTCATGTAAGAATAGAAATGGGATATGACAAGAAATAAATAAAGATATATATAGTTTTAACCCCCAAAAAATGGGCAAATTTGCTGAGAAAAATTGGTAAAATTCAATACATGGATCTAAGAAGCTGATTTTTATAGGAAATACACTTCACACTGAGGGTTATCTAACGGTGACATCAGACAGTTTTAAATACATTTACAGAGGTGTGATCCATCAGTGAGACACATCACTCATCTATGAGATCAAATCGCGTCGAATGTGTTAAAGTCCAGATTTTGTCTGTAATATATAGGAAACTTAACTTCTTAATCATCTGCGTTGTCGCTTCGATAGATTATTTGAAGTTTAATGCCCGTGAATCCTCTTCATTTCTTTTGAGTCAGAAAAAAACCAAGATTAGGTCAGTTGCCTAAGATGTGCAGCTTATCTCAAAAAGAAATGGGATCGATCCTCTTTTGAAAAAAAGATGATGATGTTGTCAACTACAGACATTCAATCTTAAAGGAAAAACTTTTAAATTCAGCAATGTCATAAAGAGAAGAATCTTTTTCGATTCGACGATTATAAACTGACTATCAATATCATACGAAAACTAATTTTTCGGCTTTCAGTAAGTATGATTTCACCAGGGCCGAATACTTCAATCGACGTTTAATCGATTAGTTTGAAATAATGTGCTTGACTATTTTGTAAAGAAGAAAAACGTTTGATAAGCAAATACTAATAATCCATATAAATTTTTCGAATTATAAACATTTCTTAAATCGGTTTGAAACTCCGAAAAAACGGACTCTATGATTGTGACATGATCAAACTAGTTCATTAATGAATCAGTATTCATTTTAATAGGCATTTTGCCATTATTCATTTGAAAAAAAAATTGATTTTAATGGTCGAAATAATCTAGCTACAGATAATAAGGCATTTTAATAACCATTTTTTCATTATTCACTTGACTGGACCGTTCTCTGCCTTATCAATTACCTTAATGGTGATTTCAATCAGAAAAACTGCATAAATTTGTCAATATGTCTGCTGAATTATTAAGAGAAGAAAATTAACAAAAACAATTTGTTTGAAAAATTAGCGCAGAAAAGAAAAGTAGAACAATTCATCTCAATCGTTAGTCAGTTTCGTCAAAATAACGTCGAAGACAATTTATGAAGTATTGCTGCGAACAGTCATATGATAGTAGGCTCCACATCGTTTCATTAAATCTGCGTGTGTACCACTTTCTACCAAGTATCCTTTGTCAAGAACGCAGATCAAATCACACGAATGAATCGTTGACAGACGATGAGCAATGATCAGTGAAGTTCGAGATGGATCGTCTGCTTGAGCTCTTTCAAGAGCTTCTTGCACGATCTAAAGATATCGATAATGATTATTTGATTAATGAGCGTCGTAAGAAAACGAACCTGTTCATTGTACGAGTCCATGGCACTTGTTGCTTCGTCTAGCAGCAATACCTTTGGTCGACGAAGAAGAGCTCGAGCAATGGCAATACGTTGTTTCTCACCACCTGACAAGTGGCCACCTTTCATACCCACTTTGGTCTCATAACCCTGTTGTAATGACACAAGGACACAATGAAATATAATGTGCTATTCTTTTCTCACTTGAGGTAACTGCTGAATGAAATGATGAATGTTAGCTTTGGTAGCCGCATCGATAATATCTTCAATCGAAGTGTTGTCTCTACCATATGCTATGTTCTCAGCAATAGTCATATCGAACAAAATAGGCTCTTGACTAACAAGACCAAGACAGGAACGAAGCCATTGAATATTCAATTTTCGAATGTCAACACCATCGAAACACTAAATTTCATTAGCCAAGTGTTTAAACGAATATATTGATAGCACAAAAGAGAGATGCTTACAATTCGACCTTGTATGGGATCGTAGAATCGTTCTAAGAGCTGAGTGACTGTCGATTTGCCACTACCAGATACACCTTTATAAATAGTTTATATAGGTACTTTGAATGAACAACAACTGACTTCGACATACCTATAAGGGCCACACGCTGACCTAATTGAAAAATAGATAAATTTCATCACAAACTAAATTGAAAATACGTAGGAAACACTCACCAGGTTTGATGATCAATTGAAATTTATTCAAAATACAGGATGTCGGTCGAGATGCATACGCAAATTTGATCTGATCAAATTCTATCTCACCTTTGAAATCACTCTGTTATCAATACATTTTGACAATGAAATAAGAGTAATCTGTTCAGAACTCAGACTTTTACTAAATGAATCACTCACCAATTGTTGACCATCCATGGAACAATTGTCAATGGCTGATATTCGATCGAACAAATCGAAGAAACTTCGAGCTGCTGACAATGAATCACTCATCTGTCGCGTTCTGAACAAAAGCACTTGAGAAGAAGAAATCGATCCGTGCAATGACTTACAAGAGCGTGATAAATCGCCGAGATTCTACGGAGAAAGTATAATAGGCCAACACACTAGGAAAAAAATGTAGATAAAATAGATCTTAAAGCATTCTATCTGTGTACATAAAAATATTGTTCATCTTCAATTCTTTGTGTTCAATAAGCACGAGAGTCTGCCAACAGAGAAACAACAAGACGAATGATGGCGTTCCCCAATAGATACTATGTAGTAATGAGGATATTATTGTGT